CTGAGACAGCAGGGGACCTGGCCACTAAGAATTTAGCCCTTTTCCACACCTCTGCTTCCACACTGTTTGCTTATCTGGAGAAACGACTGAGGGGGATATGCCCGTGTTCTGAGTGTCATCTGCATCCCTAACGGGGAACTAACATTCCGTCACCAACAGCCATGGAGTCCACCCAGCTCACAGCGACTCTCCGTCAGGTTTCTGAGACTGTAACGCTGCGTAGGAGGAGCCTAACCGTCTCCCTCGTCATGAAAGACCCTCTGACGACCATCTGTCATCACGCACAGTCACCCCCCTGTGGGTGTCAGCTCAAGAGAGTTACGGAAGTCTTCCTTCCAAGCACAGTCATGTTTCTGACGTAGAGAGGTTCGGCTAAGTACACCTTTCTCCATCTCCTTAACCCACACAGCAAGGTTTCCATCCCTAAGGGGAAAATGCAAGACCCTTTAGAGATCGGTTACAGAGGTCAGTGCCTACTCTGCTCAGCTCCTTATTCCGGGTAGCTGGACTTCAAGTTCATCACTGATTCGTGATGAAGAGATTTCTCTCTTTTGAGAAAAAGAGATAGGAAATAAAAAATGGGAACTTTACTGAGTAAGCATCTCCAAACCCCAAGGAACAGGGCAGACCAGGGTTAACCTTAAAGACAAAATTTAAATATTCCTTCTTTTCCAGTTAAATGGCCAAAAAAAGTTAGGGGGGAAAAAAAAGAATCTTTAAATGCAGATATATAACCAGTATTATTTAAAAACGAAAATATCTAAACAATTAAAAACAGCATATTCAATAACCTTGAGTGGAACTGACCTTTTAAAATGAAATCTTACTATCACTATCAATTAAACAGTATAACATAATAAATTTCAATTATAAAGAAAATGCAGTATTACTCAAAGACCATAAAACAATCTTAAACAGTTACCTAGTAACTTTATCCTGAAAAACCACAACAAAAATCTTTCTGCAAATGTCAGGCTCAACACTTTATCAGTCTGTGCCCATCGGCTCATACCCTGGATTCTGCCTCTAATATTTTCCTCTAGTGTTTGAATTAAACTTCTGAGAAGACAAACTTACCTACTGCCTGAACGTTACTCTCCATGTTCTCTTTAGTGACGTCAGCCGGGGCATCCTCCTGGGGTAGCGGTTTAGGTAAATCAGCACTCATTGGGCCATTTTGCAATCGATGTTTTAGCAAAGAAACCTAAAGAAAACATGCTTTTCATCAGAAAGAAATTACAAGAAACTATGGTTTGGTATTTTCTTTAAAACAGAGGGAGGTGAGAACAAAAGATTTTTTTTTTCCTTTTGGTCTAAATTTTTGGGAAAGTGTTTAATTGTAAACATAATCAATGAAGAGCAAAGAGGAAACTCTAAGAAGTGGAACTGTTTAACCAAGACAACTACAACTTGGTATCTTTTTTCCTTCTGTATTTTGGGGCAAGTTTCTCATTTTAACCCTCAGCAATTAATTTTTATAATTGCTCTTATCAGTGATACAGTATACTTAAAACGGAAAAGAAATATTGTTAAAATTAAATAGGCAAAGGAATGAAATCTAAAACAAGGCTTTAAAAAAAAAAAAGACCAAAGTAAAACCACATGTGGAACCCATCAAAATCCCTCTGATTTTCTTTATCCAAAACTTTCACATTTCTCCTTGCAAGTTTCACCTGAGTCTGGAGAACACTGATATACTGATCTTTCTCCTCTAAAGACGCATCAAACTCCTCCTGCAGGTGCTTCTTCGCTTGCTGGTCCATTTGGAGCTCCTAAAACAGAGTTTGAAAACAAAAAACAGAAACCTAAAGTTTTGCAAATTCAAGAACAGAAGTCAGTATCAAATTTGCATTGGCCTTTAGGCATTAGTAATTAAAATCAAAGCAATCAGCATTTAGAACGTCAGAAAGCAGTAGATAATCTTGTTCCAAGAAGAAAGAACATGAGGATCCAAAGCGTATTATCTGTAGCTCCAATAGCTGCTAAATTGATAACAACATGAAATGAATAAAAAATTACACTGACGATAAAAGCAAACATTTTTTCATTATAAAAGCAAAACTCTGAGAAATCTTCCTATTCATGTCATCTCACTATTCACACCCCCAAAAAGTCAATTGTTAGTAAATAATGGCACTAGACAATTGTACTGGATGTTATAACACAAAGTGTATATGAGTGACTGAATGAAAATCAATAAAATTAAGAACACAGCTCAGTCACCATAAACCAAACATATTAACCAGCTGAAATCACAAGCCTCTTCATCTATAAAATGAAGAGTCTGAACTAGTCTATCTCCAAACAGCATAATCTCCAGCACCCGAAACTCCGTAAGTTGCTCCTTTCTCCAGGTGCTAAATGAGCTTTCCTAACTAAATCCAATGACCTTACCTCTCTGCTGGGTCAGCCACCAATAACTAACTCCTCTATTCCAAGGGTTAGAATGAGTCAGAAGTGACTCAACAGGTTTGGGGTTTGTTTGGGTTGTTTTTTTTTGTTGCTGTTTTTATTTTTGTTTCTTCCTGAAGCAGACAGTTTCTGTCACTTCAGGGAGTCTTGGTTCAATAGCCCCATCTCTGAAAGCTTCCCTTTCATCCTTCCTTGATTTTGTGGGCACCTGTCCCTGTGAGCTCAGTCCTGTATCCTCTGTGCTTCCAACTACACTCACTCCCCTGGAAAACGAGAGAGTGACATCTGAGACAGATTAGATATCCTGTTAAAAATGCCACTATTTTCCTTGGATTCTTACCTTTCTAAATGCCTCACCTCAAAACATTCAAAGTCACATTTTACTCATCTCTGCTGACTGGCATATAATCAAACTCTTGTTTTCTCTTCAATGGCTAGCTCTTTTTACACACTATAACCACATGTATGAGCTCTATCATTTTAGAGAACTGATTGAGACTCAATGTCAAGAAGACAAAGATTCTCACCACTGGGCCAACTGGAAGCATAAGGATGGATGGTGAAGAGATTGAAATTGTTCACAGCTTTAGTTTGCTTGGCTCCAGAGTCAGCACTCTTGGCACCAGTAGCCAGAAAATTAAAAGGCGTATTGCCATGGGAAAGTCTGCTGTTAGGGACCTCTCCAAAGTACTGAAGAGCAATGGTGTCTCTCTGGAGACTAAGGTGCATCTGATACAGGCCATGGTCTTCACAATCACTTGTTATGCATCAGAGAGTTGGACAATGACCAAGGAGGATAGAAGGAGAATTGATGCCTTTGAGCTGTGGTGCTGGAGAAGAGTATTGAGAATACCATGGACTGCTAGGAAAACAGATTCATCCCGGAAAGGGTTAAAATGGGCGGCTCCTTGGAGGCAAGGATTCTGAGGCTCCGTCTAACATACTTTGGACATGTTGTAAGAAGAGACCGGTCCTTGGAGAAGGACATCATGCTTGGGAGGGTGGACAGTGCAGGAGGGGAAGGCCCTCTATGAGGTGGATTGATTCAGTGACTGGGGTAATTGGGATTGGTGTCAGAGACAGTGCGATTGGCACAGGACAGAGCAGAGTTTAGGGCTGTTGTACATAAGATCACTATGAGTCACAAGCGACTCGACGGCACATAACAACAATTTCCTTCAATAATCTTCTAGAGAAATTTCTTACCTCAAGTGTTCCTCTGCATTTATCAATTCCTCACACATTTGCTGGAACAAGTCTCATCAAGCAATATTTTCAAGGCCTTACAGTAGTAACTCCCTCTTGTATTGTTTCCAACTTGCTCATTCTCTAAGAACCCGAGGCCTTGCACCAGCTGTTCTCTGCCTCACAGCCGCGCTGCCCCAGGATTTCCAGCACATTCTTCACCGTGTCCCTCACTAAAGCCTCCTGGCCTGGCACCCTCCTCCCTCCCCTCCTCGGCAGTTGTCTTCAGATGCACGTCTTCAGAGCAGGTCATGTCCAGGGTGGTTCTCACCAGCCCATGGTGGAACAAGACACACAGAGCCAAACCAGTGTTTTTGAGGTATCATTTCTTAATTTTCATTTTCACAAATGTATGGAATTGTCGAGTATATAGCTTTCCTAAAATCTTTGTACTATAATGACCTTTCTATCTCTAGGTTTGGGTTTTTGTTTTTTTTTTAAATTTTTAATGCCCTTACCTGGAAAAAGAAAAGTCCGCAATCCTGTTTCAGGAGGTTAACTGCCAGGAAAACCTTTGACCCCTGGCATCCAAAACTGCGGAGACCGCTGGCCTCCACTTAGTAACTCCATGACTCTGTACAAGCCAGTTTTCATCCTACAATAGCCACACCTGGGTTTCTCCTCCTCTCCTGTTCGCTGCAGCCCAGGCATTTCATTAAATACAGTCTTAATTAGAGGTAGTGTGATAGGCAGAATAATAGCGTCCACAAAGACATTCATGTCCTGTCCCCCAAAGGCTATGAACATGTGACCTTACATAGAAAAAGGGGCTCCACAGATGTGATTGAATTAAGAACATGGAGATGGCTTGTTATACTGAATTATTAGGTGGCCCAATTTAATGACATAGCTCCTTAACAACAGGAACTTTTTGAAACTGAGGGATCAGAAAGAGAAATGTCTATGGAAGAACAGTCAGAGGGACACAGTAGTGCTGGCTGATGAGTGAGGGAAGGTCCCCGGGGCCCTGCAGAATATGATCAAGAACCAGTGGTGATGATGGAAGAAATCCAAGTTGCATTGATGACACTGGCAATAAACAAGTTTCCCGGAAATGATGCAAAACCAACTGGCATGTTTCTGCACACAGATGCAGCCCTGGATGTAAGTGATTAAACAAGTGCGCAGGAGACTTGATGGGAGATTCAAAGAGAGATTCAAAGGCACGTGGAGATCTCCAAGGAAACCAGAAGCAAAAATTAAAGAAATACTTTTCTCCAGAGTCCAAAGGAGAGATAAAGCCTTTCCCTGGCATAGGCACCAGGGAGTTCTGGTGGCCTAGTGGTAAGAACCTGCGCTGCAATCTTGAATGCGCATGGTTCGAATCTGCTAGATGCTCCTTGGGAGAAGGATGGGAAATCTCCCATGGATGAACTGCCTCTGAAAACTTGCTGGAGGATCAGCTATAGGTCAATAGGACAGTACTCATGAACAATAACAGAGTTGTTGTTGTTGTTGTTATGTGTGCCGTCGAGTCATTTGCGACTCATAGCGACCCTATGTACAAGAGCCCTAAACGCCGTTCTATCCTGTGCCAACCTCGCTGTCTCAAACACACTCATTCCCACCACTCCACTCACAGAAACAATCCATCTCATCGATCCATCTTCCTCTCCGGCACTGTTCCTCCACTCTGCCAAACATGATGTCCCTCTCCAAGAACCAGTCCCTCCTTGCAACATGCCCAAAGTATGTCAGACAAAGCTTCAGAATCCTTGACTCCAGGGAACATTCTGGTTTCACCTTCTCCAGGACAAACCTATTTGTTCTCCTAGCAGTCCATGGTATATTCAACACTCTTTTCCAGCACCACAGCTCAAAGGCATCAATTCTCTATCATCCCTATTCACTGTCCAACTCTCTGATGCATAGCACGTAATTGCAAAGACTATAGCCTGGATCAGGCACACCTTAGTCTCCAGCCTGATGTCGTTGCATTTCCGTACTCTTGAGAGGTCCCTCAAAGCTGACAGTAGGCACTGTGAATTGAAGAACTGTGAAAAAAACCTTGTTTGTCAAAGCTGACCATTTGTGTACTTTTGTTTGACCACAAGGAGAACTAAGGCAGTTGGCTAGTTAGTAACCTAACTAATGAAGCAAATATGAAACTATCCTAGCATACACTGCGCTTATGACAAAGTATTAGCACTTAAACTTACCTCTCTTAGTTCTCCAATCCTCCGAAGCGCTTTATCTTGACTCTGACTTAATATACCCTTCAATTTAAAAAGAAAGAAAATGTAGTTCAAACAACTGTATGGTACAGAAATGTAAAGCAAGTCAAACAAAAATTTTATTTTAAATATTCATTTTTTTATTAAATTTAATGAAAGTTTACAGAGACTTTAGATTTCCATTCATTCATTGTTGCACTTTTCTTCCTGCCCAACCTCCATCCTCCCAGTTCGCTCTTCTCTTTGAAAAATAAAAGTTCTTTCATTTTTATACAATCCCTCCCCCCAAGTCCACTCTACTATGTAGCCTTCGTTTCAAAAAGTGAAAGAAAATGTCTTTCATTGTTATACAATGCAGCCTTTGTTCTGGACTCCTGTCATGACAATAATACCTAATCACATATCCCTTTTAAACAGCTCTCTCCCTCATCTGTTTCAATGCAGTATACATAATTTATCCCATCTTTCTCAGTCTCCCCCAACCCTGATGTCAGTCCTGTTTTACAACAGTGGCACCATGCAGTATTTGTCCTTTTGTGACTGAGATATTTCATTCTGTATAATGTCCTCCAGGGTCACCCGTTTTGTATAATATTTCATGAGTTCCTTGTTTTTAAAAAAAATATGGAATGCTTCACGAATTTGCACATCATCCTTGTGCAGAGGCCATGCTAATCTTTTCTGTATTGTTCCAATTTTAGTGTATGTGCTGCTGAAGCGGGCACTGGGTGCAGACTCTTAATGTCAATCTGGGTTGAAACGTCTTTGTCCTCTTTCCATTCTGTGCAGTCAAGTCCGTGTTCCAATGTTGTGTGGAGTGTGAGCTACTGCAGAAGCATCACTTGATCAGCCCGGAAGATTACTGTAGTGACCCAGTGCCATCTTGCCGGGCACCTAAAGGTAATACTCCCTCCTCACAAAAGAAGTGCAATGATTAACCACACCGAAATGCCTGCTATGTGACAGGAGCGTGAAAAATGTTAGCTAGTACAAACGAGATGGGAGGGTAAGTGCGGGGCTGCTGGCCAGAAGGTATCTGTGAGTCACTACACGGAATAAACATGGGCAGTCTCCTCCCATTACGATTTCCAACCCTGGGAAGCTGATGGGAGGGAACCTGGGCCAGAAAGAAACCACAGCAGGGGAGGTGTGTTAGTGGTAGCACCAACAGCATCAGCAGATAATGCTGGCAACACTTACAACTTTCAATTCATTACATCTATTGAAAAGATGCAGGCCTATGCACACAAATGCATCCATGCATGTACAGAAATAAGTACAAAGCTTTGCATTGCCAGTAACTTCCGACACTTTGAAATCATGATTCCCACAGTCCTCTACTGCCTCCTAGTGGTAGCAATACTTTGGTACATAGAAAAATAAAAATCCACAGATGAGTCACCAAAGTAGATATACAAAAAGCACGTACACAACTTACAACCACGTGACCATTTAATTACTAGGACAATGGGTCAAACCAGAACTACCCTCCCCCCAACTCCACTGACTGAAAATATCATCAAAGTAAAAAAAAAAAGTGTCATAATCTAATTCACACATTCATTATGGAAAAATCAGAACATTATGGAAAAACTGAAACAACAAATAAATAACTGCTATTACCATAGAATTGATCAGATCTCAGGCCAAACCCAAGAAATGGAATGTCCTTGACAAAGATCAATATTTATGGTAAATTAATCATGTAACAATAATGAAAAATTGTATTTTTACCCAAATTTATAAAAACTATTTTGGTTATATAATGAAATTCTATGTAATATGTACTGAAAAGGTTTTTTTAAGCATGTTTTTTAAAATATGTAATAAAATATGTTTTAAAAGTATGTAATGTTTTTAAGAACTTTTACTTTAAAAAAATAAAACTATGTCTTACAAATAACACAGCAAAATGATGGCACAGTTTGAACTAAAACGATGCTTCCCTTTGCGCTCCCCATTCGGGACACCTCTGGCCCTGATGCCAAGTATTTCCCGCCCAGGAGGCTCGCCCAGGAAGCTCGCCCAGGAAGCTGCAGCAGCTTCTTCTCCCCACACACCTGACCAAGCGCTTTACAAGCTACAACTCTGAGACACGGTTATTTTAAGAGAAGATGCTTGGTTTGGGGCCTTGATATAATAAAAAACAAAGATGTCTGCAGACACCTCTAACTCAGGAGAAAAACAGAAAGTGGATGTTCCTTTACCACTGAGTGTTATGGACCGAACTGTGTTCCACTGTAACAGGGGGGAAATGGGGAGACTATGGACAATCTGTGAAAGAGGCAAACACACCTTCAATCCAAACCCTACAGACACCACAGGAATTCAACACTCAAGGAAACTCGGACTAACAGAGGGACAATCCTGAGGCTCCCCCGCTCTCTCTCTCTCTAACATCCAGACTTGGTGAAGTGGAGTTAGACATTTTATCCTCTATAGAATGCTTAAAAGAGAGGGTGAGACCTACTTTACTAAAGAAGATAGTGATTTTAAATTATCTATCAATCAATATCATAGTATATAAATCACTTACTTGTAGCTTTTTCTTCTCTCTCTGAAGAGTCTGATAAGCAGTAACAAGCTAAAAGAAAGAAAAAGTCCCCAGTAATTACTTGAGTCGTTCCTAAATAAATGCGAACACCACGTTCCACAGCAACAACTCAGGGAAGGAAGAGAGAAGGGACACGGCACTCGTTCCTTCCTCCTTTAGACCACACAAGGAGCAACGGCCCCAAGGGGGGTGTAACACCAAGGCCGAGCTTCCCAAGGAGGGACAGGGACAGGGAACCAACTTTGTCCAACATGCCAATCCCCTAAAACCTGACTGGGACGACACACAAGGGGCACCAGTAATCAAATGAGGTTATTTTGGGGACTCCTCCCTGAAAGGAGGGGATATGAGGAGGAAAGAGATAAACTCTGTACCGAGTGTTGCAATGATCTTAGAGAGAAGGATGGGGGGTTGGGAGGAGTAGAAAAGGGACACAGAATGTGAGAACTAGGAGAGCATAAACAACAACCTTTCCAAAATTTTGACCAAACATCTTTTTTTTTTACCATTTTATAGCACAAGCTTTATAGAGAACAGAATAACATGTTTTGCCATACTGTACTCAGTTTGGTAGAGCCCTGGCTTAGACTGCTCCTTTTAAATATCAGTTGAGGTTTCACACTTTGCCATGTAGTACGTTCTCCACTGCTCTGGTTACTTGATCAGCACTGAAGTTGTTCAAAGAGACATTCTTCTCTTGGCCAAATGCTTGTACATTTCAAAGGAATCAGTAACACTCAGGTCTAAATGGAATTTTGGCTGATTCTGGGTGGCTGTAACAAGAAGGACTACAGGTAGGCTTAAGGACTATGGGAGGCATTTATAAAAGAGCCCATAGCGGGCCCAGAGCTTAGGTTGTACACCGGAGCACTCACGGATTAGGATGGGTAGGTCAGGATTCGCCTTCTTCAGCTCCACGTACTTTTCTCTATGAAGTCCCTGGCTCCCACGAATTGCAGAGGCCGCCGCCATTTCCACTACAGAAGCCCCTAACCCAAACATCTTTTTAAAGGCCCTCTGTACACACAGGGAGCTCTGGCGGCCTAGTGGCTGGGAGCTGCACTGGCCAGTCTAAGACAGGCAGTTTAAACCCGCCCACTGCTCCACGGGAGTAAGACAGGAAATCTCCTTCCGTGCAATTCCTGCCTCTGAAAACCTGCTGGAGGATCAGGTATGAGTCGGTTCTGACTCGACAACAAACAACGACAACTATTCCAAGGAGACCTGCTAACGCTGGGTGCTAACAAACACTGAGGTACAAGGTCAGAGTCATGCTGTCACGGTCAAAATTATGGTCAGCTTATCTGCACCAGGACTCTCGGGGGTATGGAAGCTATGTCACGTGGCCATCAGGTGAAGATTCAGTCACCCTCCACTTTCTGATCTGATGTAATAATACTCCATTTTCACATACAACTCATTTTCACATCACAACCTCATCTTTGAGACCCTAATGAGTCAACGAGTGAGACGTAGCAATAATGAATCAGAGAACTTAGGAAAAATATTTTCTTAGGGGCCCAAGAGTCTTGCTCTTACCTCAGAATATTTTCCTCTGTAGCTACTTAGGCTTCGCTCCATTCTTCGCAGTCGCTGCGTTAACTGCTCTTTGCTCAGCCCGTCTGAGCTCCCCAGCGAGTCCTCGGCTTCACTCTCCATGTCTGATGGTGGATCGAAGATGGACGGCGAACAGTCCAGGTCAAGTCGGTTCAGGGACTCTCGAGAAGACGTTCGCACCAAGGACTCTTTAGAGGAAGATCGGAATATGGATTCCTTTATAGGACTTCGAAACAGAGACTCCACAGAGGGTACTCGGAGCTGGAGCTTCTGTGCAAAAGACTGAGTGTCACCTGACTGCAAGCAAAACCCAAAAGGTATGTGGGTTAAAAATGGGCACACTTAGGTCTCTACTATGCCCTATTATCAGCTAGAATCTATTAAAACTCCAGAAAAATTCACATATCCCTGATACTTTGGAGAGAGAAAGGGCACAGCAATACTGATATAATGCACTGCTCTTTTAAAAAAGAAAAGACACCTGGTTATTTCTGGAAAGGTGCTGGCCCTGGAGTCAGAGGCCTGGAGGATAGATGCAGGACAGCCTCCCCTAGCCTTCACCAAGTCATTTCCTTCAGGCCGCATGTCTGAGAAATAAAAGGAAGCTACACCTTCCCAGCCAAGTTTACAGGCGCGCTCTGAGGGTTCGCCCATGAACCTGTAGGATCCTTGAGGACAGTGATGGTTTGCATCACAAGTGTCTAAAATACGGCTCCCTACGGCAAACTGTGCCGTATGACTGAATTGAGACGGGCTTTAGCTAGAGGGAGTAGTTGACTCTGCTGGATCTGCCAGAGCGTCTACTAGAAACAGAATAAATAACAAATCACAGAGGACACAAGAAAAGGCTCGGCTAGGCACAGATCAGTAAGTGGGATTTTAGAAACAGCAATTAAGAACTTTGTTGACTGAGAAACAGTTATTTGAGTAACAATAAAATATAATACCACAGAACGCAATTGTTCTAAATGGTATTATTTTGTTCAATTGTAAGTATTTTGAGAATGAAAACATTTTCTCATTAGTGCAAAAACAAGGTCACCTGTGAGGTCTCAAAGATGCCAGGCAGGAAATGCTCAGAGGAGACTTAAGTCATATGCAGGCCAAGAGCACGAGAAAACAAAGCGATCCCCTTCTTAAAAAAACCAGAGCAAGAATTTATTTTTTCCTCATGCATTTTAGAAGTTTAATAATAACAGACAAATTGGGAGTAGAAGGAGATACACTACACTCCCCTTCTTGTTCACAATGATTGTTATCATTAGTTGTTAGAATAGTCAAAACTGGAAATGATCCAAATATTCACCACCAGAGGACATACCAGATAAATTAGAACATACGGAAGAGGCTTTAAGAAGCTCTAGACTAGCAATTTAAAATATAACTCTTTGGTCTCTACTCATCAGGAGTGAAAGGGTAAGAAAGTAGCCGAACTCTCAGAAACAAAGTAAGTGTATAAGCTGAAGAGGCCCCACTAGTCAGAACCTTACTTTCCCTACCTAAAGCCAGGAAAGACAGCTGCTGCCTGGCTAGTCCAGTGATCAAACTGTCTGGGGGCACAACACATAACCCTGATGAGATTGGGGGGAAATTAAGGAAGAAAAAAAAAATCAAATTCCTTAACTAGATAGGAACTCTTTAATAAATTCCTTCACTCAAAGCCCGTAACGAACCAAACCATTGAAACCATTCCTTGAAACTATTGCACCGAAACGTTCTTCAGATCTCAAACCTAAATTATCCCTTTGAGACCAATTTTAGCAAAACAAGAAGAGTTACACACAAAACAAAGGATATTATGTTCTATAAAACACCTACATGGGTCCAACAGTCCAAATAGTCAACATTTAATCCAAAGCAAAACTTCTCTAATAAAAGTGCAAGGAAATTAGAGTAGTGAAAATGGACAGCGCAAAGCACAATTAAAGAGAATGTTACCATAGTGGAAAATGTTAACTCATCTTATCAATCAGTTTAGGTGGAGACGATCAATTGGCAATCTATCTTGCTGTGTAAACTTTCACCAAAGTAAAAATATTTTTTGAGGTGTTATAATAGACTCTTAAATGACTGAGGTCTATGCGTATGAACTACTTTCATTTCAAATTTCTCAAAAAAAATAATCAGACGTAAATTTATCACACATACTAGATGAAATGTTTGGACATCATTATTTCAATTTAAACTCAAATGCTGATAATTAACAATGACTGATCACCACTCTCAAGTGGCATGTGATTTTTTTGAGCAGTGTTACCCACAGACCTGGGGAGTAGGAGGTTCACTTCCGTTAACACTGTCGGGAGATTTCGCAGCATGGATGGATGCATTCTGTGAAAAAGAAAGGGACATTGTAAACAAACATAAAATGAGACATTTTAAACTATAAAGAACATAGTTAAAGTACTAAAGCCTACTAGATACATGTATCTATTATACAAAATTAGTAATTGGTCATGTACAAGAATGTTTTCATGCAAGGCAAAACTAGTATGGTAGTATTTTAGAGAATTCATTTTGCTGTGACACATACAAACAGAGCAAAGATTAGTATGTAGCAGAATTTATTTCCAGCTCATTACATACCTCTTCCCTGTATAATGTTCCCAGTTCTCTACCCCATGATAAAATGAACACTATGGATTCAATTAGTAAACTCTTTCAGAGAACTAAGAGGGAAAAGAAGTTGTGTCAATTATGCCCTCCAATAATTAACAATACTCCAAATTATTTGGGCTAATCTCTGAAAAACACATGGTAACAAGAAACGAAAATGTCTCATTCATTTGAAGCCAGAAATGTAAATGATACTATGACAATTTTCAGAAAACCTTTTCATTTCAACTGTCTTCCTTCCTCCTAATGTAAGCCTTCTGGTTTGTTCTGTTGACGTGACAACTGCTCTAAGCTATGCAACATTCAAATGATCACACTATATTGTCACACAGTCCATGGTAATGGAGGGGATTCTTTGAGAGTCAAAATTCTGTAACGCCTTTATAATATACTAAGTACCTAACTACCATTACTCGGAACTCTAAAAGGAACCCCTGGTAAAATGACTTCCACGTTTTAAGCAAATGCCTTCCCCTAGTCACTCTGTTCCTGTAGCCTGGTAGTTAAAATTGTTTCCTTCTCCCTATTGTTACAATTGGCCGACCAATATCAAATGTTGGTTATACTTAAATACAAATGGAAAAGGCACTCAGCTTTGCAAAGAGAATTCTCACAATGTTTTTTAAATTCTTTTTTGTGTGTGTGTATCATCAAATCGGATCTGACTGTCACAGGAGGAGATTGCCCCTCCTTCTCCAGCACAGCATCTGGTGTATTCGAACCACATACCTCTGGGATTGCAGTGCAGCTTCTTGCCACTAGGCCACCAGAGTTCCCTGAGAATTCTCACAATTCTTAAAAATTCTAATTGGGAATTTACATTAAGACATTTTTGATAGGGGGGTATGGTAAAGGTACTACAGAAATATATTTTTACATTTATCTTTTAAAGACATGTATTTCTTTAAATATTTACAAATTAAATATGATTTCTTGTATTTGCTTCAAATAATCCAGTGGCAACCTAAGAGAAGCTATGAGGGGTGGTAGCAGGGTAGGGGAGTAGGGAAGTGGAGGAGTCTGTTTATGGATTAAAAACTGTGTTGGCCACATAAAAGAATACGGTGGCATAGAACTGGGTAGCATGATAATTAACACTTTTCTAGCCCTAAAAATACACTACATTACATATTACAAAATGAGTATCTATACCTTAAAGAGAACAAAAAGTCACTTGGTCGGTTAGGATACTTGAAAGTAAACAGAAATTAAATTATCAAGAAGAGAACTGAGTTGGTTTGTTTTAAAACAGCATATTCCCTCCTCATATGTATTTCAACTTACTTCTTTCACACACCTAAATAGATCCAGGGATTAGCAAACAAATGAAAGACAGCACTGGCCTAAAGTATCCTCTAAACTGAAATCTGAAATCTCTAGAATTGATTTGGTCACTATCTGGAATGCCCTCCACATTTCTGCCTTGACCACAGCTCATTTTTCAACATTCTAAAGCCCCAGCACAGTGCTGGTGACGCTTCACAACACGGCTTGCGTGAATGGCTACCACCTTTACACCCTCTGTATTTTCTTTCATGAAGCTCATGTCCCTCTCCTACCTTACAAACTCTTGGAGGGCGGGAGCTATGGTGGCGTAGTCTGTAGGGAGTTATGTGACTAACTCAAAGATGGCACCTCTCTTCCCAGTTCAAATCCACAGGCAGCTTCAAGGAAGAGAAATGGGCCGTCTTCTCCTGCAGGGTTTAGATATCTCATATGACTTAGCTAAGAGAACACACAGGTCCACCCTAGAGAGTGTGAAACCAGGCTGCTCCTTGGAGGTAAGGATTCTGAAGCTCCCTCTGACATGCTGTGGACATGTAGCAAGGAGGGACCAGTCCTTGGAGAGGGACATCATGCTTGGAAGGGTGGAGGGGCAGCGCAAGAAAGGAAGACCCTGGATGAGATGTGTTCACTCAGTAACTGGGGTTATGGGAGTAAGTGTGTCAGAAATGATCACATTGGCTCAGGACAGAGCAAGATTCAGAGCTGCTGTACACAGAATTGCTGTGAGTCAAAGTCGACTCAACAGAACATAACAACAGCAACAGTGACCCAACTATGGCACTCCTAGGAATATACCCTGTTTACAGCCTCTGAAAACTTGCTAGAGGGTCAGTTCTGACTCTACAGCACATAACAACAACTACTTGGAGAAATTTAAAGAAAATTATTTTTCTATTTTAAAGTAAGCTGATAACCTCTCCGAGACTCCTGACTTCCTCCCCAGAGAGTTTTAAAAATGAGTGAGGTTACCTGCAGCCAGAGGCACCCAGGCTGTGTTCTGAGTCTCAAGCCTGACACAGCACTAGAAACCCACCTGTCACTTTGAGCAGCTTTCTCTCCTGAAGTCAAGTACAAAATGATGTCATTTGGGGCTGATAATCGGCCATGCACATGTACAGCACTGATACATGAAGTACAGAAATGCTCTCATTTCAGTACCACTTACCTAAAACACTAAACCAATACTCATTATTATGTGGGTGTTCGTTTTTTTTAAAAAAAAATTTCAATTCTAGTTAAACCAGCGCCTGCTCTAACACTAAAAGCTACCCTAACTGGACATAACCCTTCTCATTTTTACTCCACTGTTACTGTTTCTGTCACTGTTAGCTGCCATCAGGTTGACCATGACTCACAGTGACCCTATCTGAATCTTGCCCTCACCTGCACCATCCTCATGACCTCTGTCCTGCTCAGTCCATCTTTTGAAGGTCTTCCTCTCTTTAATAGCTAACCTTCTACCTTCCACCATGGTGTCTTTTCCCAGAACTGGCCTCTCTTGACAATGCGCCTGAAGTACGTGAGACAAAGTTTATTATCCTTGAACCTGACGAGCGCCTGACTGCACTTCCAGGGGCAGATCTGCTTGGTCTTCTGGCTGTCCGTGGTATACACAACACTCCTCTCCAACACCTCAACTCAAAGGCACTGATTCTTCTCTGGGCTTTCTTCTTCACTGTCCAACTTTCCAGTGCATTGCAAGTAACTGAAAATACAATGGCTTGCATCAGGCGTAACATCTTATCAGACACTTTAAATTGTTGTGGCTGTGATGTGCCGTCAAGGCAACTGCAGCCCACAGAAACCCTACGAACAATGGATCTGAACCCTGTCCTATTCTGTGCCATCCTTGCCATCTTTAAGTACAGGAGAAAAGCCACCTTCCAGAGGTGAAATTACATATGTTTATAAATTCAAAAGCAAGTAGGCAAGTGATTTCCTTTCATATTTTTAAAACACAGAAAACTGAGACTCCTCCAAAAGATGCAATCACTTGCTGCAGTCAACTCTACTAACCCATTAATATTGTTTACTTATATAACGACTACCGTTCTTTTCTGTAAATGTGTGAGTTATGTCTCAAAACATTCTAGGCCTCTCCCCAATAACAGAACATGGTCCTAGCTATGCATGCCTTTTTCAATTAATGAGTTTAGATCAAGTGAAGGAAGCCTTTACCACATTAATGAGAAGTGTTATTTCATTGCTGTTAAAAAATTAATTTATAAAAAAAAATCAAACAAACCACCAAACCCACAACACTACGAGGAAGCACCACAGTCATCAGAATTTAGCAGTTTACTCTCTGATTTTTTTTTTTAAGAGCAAGGTTAGCTTAGCAACAGGGCACTGACGATGCTTTGAGAGGTGGTAAGTAGCAAGCGACACGAAATCTGCTTCCAGAATCACCACGTTACTCTGCGTCCCACAAAGGGGATGCAGAAAGCAGTGGGAGCACTCACCACATTGTCAGTCTGTGTTTTAAGCTGTTTGGAGGAATCCAAAGCAAAGATAGTATACTCAGAGAGAAAAGCGGGCTCTGCTATCATCCCAGCTAGAAGCTGTCCCAGTCAGTGTAAAAAGCAGGGGTGGAAAAATAAAACAAAGCATGAAAAACAAATCATAACGGCAGTAACGGCACGGTGCAAACGTGTTCTCACCACTCAGCATGCACCCACAACACCTGGGCTCGGACACCATCACCATCACCTCCACAACCTCACCCACTCAAATGAGTAACATAAGCTGGTGGGAAAGGTCAGAAACGAGGATGAGCTGGTCTAGTGGCAACGGGTCAGAACCGACCCACAACTGACCCTCCAGAGGGTTTTCAGGGCAGTAAGTCACACGGGAGGACACTGCCCATCCTTCTCCCGCAGAGCAATTGGTGGATTTGAACTGTGTGCCTTTGGGACTGCTGCATTGTGTCTTTCCATGAGGCCACCACAGCTCCCTAACTTGTCTACTTACATGCAAATGATCTATGCAATAAGCATCACAGCACACAGCGTGACTGGGAACAGGGGTACAAGAATCCACACACAAAACAGCAACAACAAAGAAAATATACGATAAACAACACAAAGCCTTAGTATAAAATTCATAACACTGAGTCATTCAACATTATATAGTAAAAAAGACAGCACAGAGATTTATTGGGAAATTAAAATAGATAAGACTTTAAAGGACTATTATTGGTGCATATATATTTACACATTCATCTATTTCTCTAAATTACATACAGAAGACACTTTCAAAACAAACATTTACAGTACGTTTTAAGGGTAAAATCTATTATACCAATATTCTAGACCTTTTGTTATATATTCTTTTTGGAAAGTACATATTGTACACCAAAATACTAACAATTATTAATTATAAAAAGTGATAATAAAAAAAATAGATTTTTTTAAATGGCAGTGGTTGTT